GTGAGCAGAACTTAGTGGACTCTGGTCTCCATGCTGAGGAGGACTGAGTAAAATCCACACAACATGATTTTACAATTGTTAGAAATGACTCGGAATTTGCCAAAATAACTTGAAACCTGAACAAAATTAATTTAAACTTGTCCAGAATGATTAATATCCTCATGACGTGCTGCAACCATCATCGTTAATCACTCAGAAGACATCTGAACAGGAGAACATGACTTGTTTGTTGAAAGTTATGCAAAACTCTGGCTGCAGTTCACCTGAAATTCTCTGGATGTTTCCTGTTGGTCACAGCTGGGTCAGAACCAGGAGGAGGAAGGTTCTGGTTCTACAGGGTCAGAACCAGTGAGGAGGAAGGGTCTGGTTCTACTGGGTCAGAACCAGGAGGAGGAAGGTTCTGGTTCTACAGGGTCAGAACCAGGAGGAGGAAGGTTCTGGTTCTACCTACATGCAAATGCTTTATTTCTGGAGAGTTTTTAAAAGAGACTTGTACAATAAGGTGATCTTGATAAAATCGCACATCTTAAGCTCAGATTTAGGTGCTGACGGAACCGCGTCTCACACGATCGCTGAAGAACTGGACCGTCTGGAAGCTGAGGAGCTGCTGGTTCATCCTGTTTTTACCGTTTCTGGCTGATGACTGGAGTCATTTCAGGTGATTCTGTGTGAAGTCATCGGGCCTTCAGCTCCACCATCTCACCATCAACTACGATATACATATACAGTATATGTCGTAGTTGATGATATATATATATATGTGTATATATCATTAAAAAGAAAGAAAATCTCCCATCAACCCACTTTGTGCAGGTGCTTTCTCACACTGAAACCTGAGTGTGTTTGAACAACACCCTGAATGTTTCTCTCTTGTTCCTCATCATGGATTCAGAACCTGTCATGTGAAATAATGCCATTTGTCCAAAATGACTCAAAAAACATCCAAAATGATTCATCAATTCAAAATGTCTCCCAAAAAATCTGATTCTTATCTTTAATAGTTTCTCAGATTGTTGTTCAAACAACCTCTGATTTTTTTTTTAAACTGCAGGAAGTGGGTGGACCAGAACTTTTGAAAAATCACAACTTTTTTTAATATCAATTCAAAATTTCACAAAAGACATTTCAAATATTCCTATTTTATGCTCCAGACGTTTCAGGCAGATCACAGCTGGAGCAGCAACGGCAGAAATGTGACATGGATGTCAGGGGATGCTGTGGATTCTGGGTAATGTAGGAGCAGCTGCTGAATGAACACGGAGATGGAGATGTTGGCATGACACACTGAACACGGCTGCACACGGAGGAAACAGTCTTACCTCGGACTGAGCCGGAGACAAGCAATCAAAGCGGCTTCCTACCATCTACTCCGTTCAGACAGACAGACAGACGGACAGAACAGAAGGATAGAAAAGAAGAAGAACTCGTCTAAATTTAGTCTCAAAGGGCAATGCTAGCAGAGCCGTTAGCTCGACAAACACAAAAACAGCAAACATCTAAAAACAAACACGTTTCTGTCTGATTGAAAGTCAGAAACTCTGTCAGAATGTGGACTGTTTATGGGGTTTTGGTTTTTACAGTCATCATGTCACTTTTGTTTTTCATGATCTGACCAGGTGTTATCTGTAGTTTAACAGGATGAATCTGTGAAATAACTATTTCTAAAAAATACTGTTAAAACTCAGTCCTCGATATATTTATATATATTCTTCTTCAACAGCAAATGTCTGTAAATAGACGAATATCTTTACCTGATTGAATACAGTGAAGCAGTGTAACTGGATTGTCAAACTGTTGTAAGAAATGCAGGTTTCTGGTGTGTTCTCATGCTGCCCTCATGGTTCTATCCACCTGTAACTCCTCCTCTGTCCACCAGGTGTCCTCGGTGGGCAGACTTCTGCTCACCTGCTGCTCTTCACTTTGACTCTACGTGTGACTGGATCTCAGCAAGTCACCCTGGTTTTGTATTGTACCTGCCTCCTCTTCTCCATCTGCTGAGGACACCTCTGAAGCCCAAACACTTCCTGTCTCACTTCAACTCACTGAGCTTCATGTTTGTCTGCAGCATCAAGTCCTGCAGCTCTGAGGAACCAGAACATGAAGGAGGAGGGAGAACTCAGAAACGTCTTCTGTCAGCAGGACTCAGAGTTCTCAGATGTTAAACCCTGGAGCTCATGTGGTGTCCTCGTCTTGCAGATGTTGAACTATCTCCATGTCCCCTGACTTTTCCTCTTTGCTCTACTCATCAGCCGTAGAAAGATGTTCCACCATCAGATGTAGAAAGATGTTCCACCATCAGATGTAGAAAGATGTTCCACCATCAGATGTAGAAAGATGTTCCACCATC